GTAGGGATAGTAATTAGTAAGAGAAAGGAAGTAGAATAACAAATTAATAAAATATCTAATATTAAAAATAAAATAAAGAATTATTATAATATTCGTTATATTTTTATTATAATACTCCCCTATCCAGTCCAGAGTTTTATATATCCTTGTTAAAATACCCTCAGACCCGTATTATAATTATTATTCCCTTATTATTACTAAGAAATAATCACCAAAAGCTAATCTAATTAATAATATAATTGGCTTCAATTGGATTTGAGGTTTTTATAATTCCTTGCTAAATTGTATTTCTATAATCTAATTCGAGACCTACCTCTCTCATCTTTTTATTATTAAAATTAAACCGCTACCTCTTTTTTTTTTTTTTCTTATTTACCCCTCTATCTTATTTAATTATTAAAAGTACTCCCGGTTACTTACACCTTCTATCGCCAAGTAACCCAACGTTATAAATTAACTATCCTATTCTTTAATAAAAATAAGACTTTGAGCTATTTTATAAATATAGGAATTTAATAAGCCCCGCCTAATTTAGTACCTCCTATCTCGACTATCAAAAAAATATAAGGATTACCTCCTACTTTGCCAAATTAGATAGCTAAGGAACTACGGTTCTTTTATAATATACTAGTTTAGATAGTTTTATTATTATAATTTTCTTACTATTTTAATATATATATATATATAACTAGAACCTGCTTATATTTAACCAAAGGCCCGCTATCTTTATAATCCGGGGTCTACCCTTCGAATATTATTTTTCCTCCTATTATTTTATTAAAATATAATTTATAAGAATTTAGTATTTAAGAGGTATAGTTTATAAGAGTTTAGTATCCTCCTACGTTTTTTTAAATCCGATTAAATTCAATCGGAAATTTACCTCTTTTATTGGTAATATAATAATAGGATAATACTATTTATTTTAAACTTAAGACCCTTTATAAAGGCTGCCTGGTTTAGAATTAGGGATAAGGATAGCTAAGCGCGTACTGCGATTTAACGATATTCGTATATATAAATTTATTTATCTCTTTTTCGCTGGATTAGGGGTAGAAGTATTTCGAGAAGGAGGTAATACTATTTTAGATTAATTATTTTTTGAAATAGAGGTAGTACTATTATTGGAAGTAGGGTTTTAGTAATTAGTAAGGTTAACGAAGGTATAAAAATAAAAAAGGAATTAAGTAGTAAATTCGGGATTTACTATAAAGGATCTATTCTTAAATATTATATAAATTCCCTTAGGTTCTATATTTTTAATTTTTTAGAATTTAAGAAGTGAATTGGTACGAAACTAGTTAAAGAAATTCGAAGATTTTCAAAACGGTCCTTAAATATTAAAAGAGCTACCTTATATTAGATAGGAAATAACTATTAATATTCGAGAATATTGAATATCTATCTCCTCTTTAAACGAGAAGGATTAAAATACTCCTTTAATTAATAATATTAAATCTTATAATAAAGTTAGGTAAATTATTTATTCTAAAATTTAAAATTACTTTTAAAATTCCCTTTTAAAATTAGACACCCTCCTTATATTATTATTATAATACCTATAACTATTATTATAATACTATACCTAGCGACCCCCTCCCCTTATAGGATTTGGTCGCCGCCGCTAATATTAGGTATATTTAAAAGGAAATTAATAATATAATAAGTACTAAGAGGGTAGTAGGAGACCAATTTTTCCGGGAATTTATAATTATAAAGCCGGGCTAATATTTTAAATAAAAGGTTCCTCTAGGGCCTATAATTACCGAAGGCGATCGAATTATTATAATTACCATTATTACTCCTTATATTAAAGAGTATTTTAAATATATAATTCTTAAAAAGGTATTATAATTAGTAGGGGAAGATACGGAAAATAAAAAGGCGGTTAAATTTGTAAAGCGTCTTAAAATAAAAAATAAAAATAATATTAAAGTTAATATTAAAGTCGATACTAAGGACAATATTAAATATAATACCGTAATAGAAAATCTATTAATACTATTTCGGTCCTTACTAATTTAAATATTAGAGGTACCTATTAAATCGGATATCGTATCTAATATATCCTCGGATCTCCCTCTATTAGAAAACAACCTACCGCCTTTAACGAACAGGAGCGTAAAACCTAAAGCGAAAGCGAACCTAAAACCAAAATTAAACTTCTAACTACTCTATACAATTTAATTTTTTAAAATCCGAGAACTAAATTAGTACGAACTATTATAACTACTATTATCACTCCTTATATTAAGGAGTGCTTTAATTATAATATTATACCGCTAATTACACCCTCTATAATTCACGGCGGTCCTTTAAAATTAAAATCCGAAGCCCTTCGAGCGATACTTTCTACGAATAATTATCCTTATCCTCTTTTAGGCTCTACAATTTTAATTACCGCTATATAACCAGCCGTTTTCTCTACGAAGGATCTATTCTTAAAGATTATATAGATTAAATTGTATTTAGTTTTTTAAAATCCGAAAAGCGAATTAATATAAAATAGGGCAATTAAAGAAATTCAAGGACTTTTAAAAAGGTTTTCAAATATTAGGGGAGTTGCCTTATATTAGATAGGAAATAACTATTAATACTTAAGGATATCGAATATCCATCTCCACTTTAAACGAAAAGGATTAAAATATAGGATTAAAAAGTTAAACCTCCTATAAGGAACAATTTACCCTTATATTCCAAGGGCCTCCCTCCTTAGGAGAGCGCCGTAACTACTCTACTACTTCCTTACTTATATTTAAAGTAAACAACCATCTAACAGAGCCAAATCTCCTCTATAATCCAAAATTACTAGAATATAGGAACTATACTTCTAGCTAGAAGAGTAAAATAATATTGTATACGGCTAGTAATATATTTATAGGAATCAGTAATACTTAATAAAAAATAATAAATACTAGAATCCACTTAAGTTTTATATTTATAATTAGGAATACGTAGTGGCGATTTTTAATGCCAATTTCTAGAATCCAAATACTACTATTTATAATATTAATATATATAATTTTATTATTAATAAAGAAATTTAATATTGCATTAATATTCTATACTTATCGCCTCCTTATTAAATATAATTTCCGGCCTATATACGACCTAGCTAGAATAACGAGAAAAATCTTATAATTCTCTTCTCTTATATTTATTTAATTAAGAAAATCAAGCTTCGCTTCTTCACCGTCGAATAAACGTTCGGTATTTTACACCCTTAGTTCAATAATTTCTTTTAGAACCTTATCTATAAATTTACTAATTAGGGCTATTCTATCCAATAGAAGGTAGTGAACTTCTTTTACTATAGCCTACCTTAACCTTAGAAGAAGTTAATAATAATTAATATTAATCTAGGGGAATTACTAACTTATAACAATAACCCTAAATCCGTAACTATAGCCCGGTAGGCTTTTGCGGCTATTAATAAGAGAAGAAGGAGATACCCTTTATATTAACCTTAAAAGTATTTACAACCTTTCCTAACGTATAAAGTACCTTAGGACAACAATAAACTACTTCCCTATATAATTACATCCATATATAATAATTACTACGGGTTTAGATTATATTAATCCCCCCCCCGGACTATACTCTCTTACAAGGCTTTATAATATATTATTAAATATACCTAGTCTCCGGTTTATATACAACCCAATTAAAAGAAGGAAAAGAATCTCACAATCCTCTTCCCCTACACTTACTTAATTAAAAAGATCCGGCCTCGCCTCTTTATTATTGAATAGTATTTTTAACTACCGAAGTAAAAGAGTACGGTTAGTAGGTATATCCCTATATTAATATTTAGTAATTTAGAGGTAAGTAAAATAAAAAACATTTATTAATTTAAATAAGAATATTTCTAACCTATTTAAATTTAAATTAAAATTAAGACGATAGATTCGAAACCGCAACTATACGTACGGATTTAGGCTTATTATTATTATACTTACTATAGTAGGAAATCCCCCAAGACATTTAGTATAATAAACTTTACTAAACTAATTTAATTATTTAATAGAGGGCTTTAATTAGTTAAATTAAGTACCCCCTATAATAATATACTATATTAGGCTACGTTTATTCTAATACAGTTACTATATAGAGGAGGTAGTTATATAAGTTTATATAGTAAAGCTCGGGCTACCTTTCAAATACACTATATAACTATTTACACCCCCTTTATACAATTAATATACTACTATTATAGCGGAAATATAGGAAGAATATTAAAATTTGAGAGGGGGTTATAAGGGTAATTCCAAATCTTAGAATAAATAATTAGCCTAGCCTTATTATAAAATCTAATACTATTAGTTAAGGGAGGCCCCTAATTAATTAAATTTAAATATAAAATAATAAAAGTTAAAGACCCTTATAATAACCTTCTATAATAATTATTATAAGGGGTTTCCTTTCTTCTTTTTCCTTTTTTTTCTTTTTTTTTTTTTTTTTTTTTTTCTTTATTTTTACTTACTTGGGGGTAGGCAGGGGTTTGGATGAAGGTATTTACACTTTTACTTTAGCGAAACTTTTCGTATAATAAAAAAAAAACTACCTCCAATTAGAATTAAACTAGTAATTACAAGAAAAAGAGTAACAATAGAAATTATTAAACTATTAGCCCAAATAATTAATAGAACTATTCGTTATTACCTTTAATATAAGGAAATAAGAAGGTAGAAGAGGGGGGGTAAAAAGGAAAGAACAGAGTAATTTAACTAATAAAAGCCCTTCTTTAAATAATAATACTAGGGAGCTAATAGTACTAGATTTTATAATAAGGTTTATAAAGATTATAAGCGTTAAACCCCCCTAATAAGGCTTAATACGTTAGTGATTTTCCCATTATAGTATTATTGAAAAAATATTAATTCTACCAGTTAATTTATAATTAATAATATAATTTTTATTAAACGCCTTATAAGTAAAATAAGAGAATAACGTAGATTACTATTTCCAACGGCATTCTAAACCCTTAATAAATTAATACGCTTCTTAAACGGTTTATAATTAATATTGTAGAGGCTCTAATCTACGATATTAAAAATATACTCGATAAAGGCCTAGTAGCGGCCCTAATAACTATAAATATTAAGGGCGCCTTCAATATAGTCCTAATTAATAGGCTGGTTTTATATTTATACGAATAGGGTTAATTAGAGTATATTATCCGCTAAGTCGAATCTTTTATAACGAATTACAAGGTTTACGTCCGGTACCCAAGGGTAATTACTTAAATATAGCGGTTGAAATACAGGTTTCCCTAAGGGTCCCTAGCATCGCCAATTATTTATTTACTATATATAGAGTTTGTCTACCGTTTAGGAGATAGCGAATTGTAATACTTTAATTATACGGACGATTATACTATCCTTATTATAGGCGCTAGCGAGGACGAAATCGTTAGGAAAGCCTAGTCCGAATTTAATATTATAATTAATTGGAGGGTAAATAACGCTATTGAATTTTCGCCCGAAAAGACTAAGATTCAATTCTTTTCGAGGAGGAGAATAATAATTCCTTTTCCGATTATTAATTATAATAGTATAGAAATCGCTATATAGCCGGCTATAAAGTAGCTTAGAATTTAGTTTTATAGTAAATTGAATTAGAAGTATTATATAGAATATAGGTTAGCTTCTACTAAATAAGTAATATAGTATATTAGCGGTTTTAATAAAGTATATTACGGCGTACCCTTGGGCTCTATAGTTAAAATAATAAAGGTTATAATCCTCCCTAAAGCCCTCTTTAACTCTAAAATTTAGTAGCCGGGCTATAAGAGGTACGTACTATATTGTAAGTAGGGAGAATTCCCTTTAGTTGGAAATAGGCTCGCTAAATACGTAGGGAAAATTTAAAAGGCTATTAATATTATTATACATATAAGTTTACCTATCTAGCGGACGACCCGGCTTACTATCCTATATTAGGAAGCTACTATATTAAGAATCTACGCCCTTCGATATTGGATATTAGGTTTAGGAATAGATATAAAATTTATATTATCTTAGATTAAAACTTCTAATATTAATTTAACATCTAATATTAAATACTCTATAAATAAAAAAAAATAGTTAATTTTCTAGGTACCTTACCTTTTAATTTCTAGAAGGTAAAGAGGTCTCTAGAAAACTTCTTTTAGAAGTAATACTATATTTTTTTTTTTTTTTTTTTTTTTTTTTTTTTTTAATTTTGAAAAATTAATTACCGCAGTGGGTATATAAGGATGATATTTAGTATAGTAGGGGGGGTACTAGGTTAGGTTCAATTTCTAATTACGATAGTGAGCCTATTTTAAGTAATTTACTTAGCCTAATTGTAAAATGGAGGGCTCTAATTAATTAAATTTAGGTATAAAATAGTAAAAGGTGAAGACCCCTATAATAACCTTCTGGAAGGTCACTATAAGGGTCTTTATTAATAGTTATTATAATAGTCTTCTTAGTGGTCTTCTTAATAATCTTCTTAGTGGTCTTCTTAGTAGTCTTTTTAATAGTCTTTAACTTCAATTTCGAAATCTAAAATTTGGATAAGGGTATTTACACTTCTGCGCGAAATTTTTCATACGAAAAAAATATGTTATTAATTGAAATCGAATTAGTATTTTTAAAAATGAGAATTACCGTAAGAATTATTGAGTTACTAGCCCAATTGATTAATAACGATATTCGTTACTTCTATATATATAAGGATCTTAACTTTGGAATTTATTTAGGAAAGAGCAGCCTAGTTAAAAAAAAAAAAAAAAAAGATAAATCTAATATAGTATATTATTATAGGGGGTACTAAAATTAATTAATTAAAACCCTCTAATAAGCAATTAGGTTAGGTAGTTTAATTAGGCTAATTAAATTACCTAACTTAGCGAAACCCTACTATACTAAATGCCTTAGGGGATTTCCTACTATAATACTAATAGGAATCGAACTCAAAACATTAAGAAAAAAAACTCTTATATAAATAATTTAATTACTAAACCAAATTATTTCTAAGAAACTACTTTAGGCTTCTGCCTTATATAGGGAAAAAGGTAACCTAGAGGAAGAGAAAGAAAGAAAGAAAAAAAAAAAAAAATTGGAATTTTTTAATTAAATTTTTTTTTTAATAGCGCTTACCCCCTATATTAGAGGGGATTTAATATTGGATATTAAATTAATATTAAAAGTCGAGGCGGTACTACCTAAATATTAAATATTTTAAAATATATTTTTAGGCTATAGTAGCTTGCCGTCGGCGCCGTTCCTCCTAGAGGCCACCCAACAACGGTACGTAATCTACCTATTAATCTTAGATTTAACGTACTTACTAACATCCTGGTTTATATAATTCAGGTGGATGCCCTATAGTCTTACCCGCCGCTTAAATAAGAGGGGGTTAGTAAAAGATTTTACTACTAACCCCTAAGTATTACCTAATTTGCGTTTATATTCCTACGGCCGATTTTATAACTGCTAGTCTTTAATAGTATTATTTATTGGAACCCCGCTCCTACGTCTAAATATAGGGCGGCAATAAAGTTTAAAGAGTAGTTATAATAATTAGACTATATTAAGGTAATTATTTATATAGACGGCTCTATAATAGTAAAGTAAATAGAACTTTCCGAGTACACGGAGGATTTTAATATTAAAAAAGAAAGGCCGGAAAGTAAGTACATTGGCTTTAGATATATAATTTTCTAAATTTAGGAAGAGTTTGCCTAGGATTATAGATAATTTAAATAAACAGAGGTTTAGAGTTTGGGAAAGGGTAGCCTAATTAAAAAATAAAAAGAAAAAAAAAAAAGGAAGAAGAAAAAAAAGAAGAAAAAAGAAAAGATATTCCCAAATTTAATATAGTATATTATTATAGGGGATACCCAATTTGACTAATTAGAGCCCTCCATTGAATAATTAAGTTAGTTTAATAAAGCCTATTATATTAAATATTTTGGGGGATTTCCCGTTATAGTAAGTATAATAATAATAAATTTGAATCCGTACGTATAGTTACAGTTTCGAATCTATTATTTCAATTTTAATTTAAATTTAGGTAGATTAGAAATATCTTTATTTAGATTAATAAACGTCTTTTACTTTATTTACCTCTAAACTGCCAAATATTAATATAGGAATGTGCCTACTAACTATACTCTTTTACTTTGGTAATTGAAAATATTATTTAATAGTAAAAAGGCGAGGTTGGATCTTTTTAATTAGGTAAGTATAGGGGAAGAGGATTGCGAGATTCTTCTTCTTCTTTTAATTAAGTTATATATAAGCCGGAGATTAAGTATATTTAATAATATATTATAAAGCCTTATAAAAGAATATAGTCTAGAGGGAGGGATTAATATAATTTAGACTTGTAGTAATTATTATATATAACCGTATAAGGAAGTAGTTTATTACTATCCTAAAGTATTTTATACGTTGGGAAAGATTGTAAATACTTTTAGGGTTATTATAAAGGGTATTTTCTTTTTCTTTTATTAATAATTGTAAAAGTTTACTGGGCTATAATTATAGGTTTAGGGCTATTATGATAAATTAGTAATTCCCCTAAATTAGTATTAATTATTATTAACCTCCTCCGAAGTTGAAGTAGGCTATAATAAAAAAAGTTTATTACCTTCTATTAGATAGAGTAGCCCTAATTAGTAAATCTATAAACGAAGTTCTAAAAGAAATTATTAAATTAAAGGTATAAAATGCCGAATGTTTATTCGATAGTAAAGAGGCGAGGCTGGATCTTTTTAATTAAATAAGTATAGGGGAAGAGAATTGCGAAATTCTTCTCGTTATTTTAACCGGGTTATATATAGGCCGGAGACTATATTTAATAAGGAGGTAATAGGTATAGAATATTAATATAATATTGAATTTCTTTATTAATAATAAAATTATATATATTAATATTGTAAATAATAGTATTTTGACTTTAGAAATTAGTATTAAAAGTTGCTATTGTATATTCCTAATTATAAATACAAAATTTAAATAGATTCTAATATCTATTATTCCTCGTTAAATATTACCGGCTCCTATAAATATATTACCGGCCGTATATAATATTATTTTATTCTTCCGGCTAGAAGTGTAACTCCTATATCCTAGTAATTTTAAATTATAAAGGAGATTTAGCTCCGTTAGATAGTTGCCTACTCTAAATATAGGGAGGGGAGTAGTAGAGTATTTATAGCGCTCTCTTAAGGAGGGAGGCCCTTAAAATAGGTAGAAATTTCGTTGTAAGGGTAAATTATCTCTAATAGGAAATTTAACCTTTTAATCCTATATTATAATTCTTTTCGTTTAAAGTAGAAATAGATATTTAATATCCTTGAATACTAATAGTTATTTCCTATCTAATATAAGGTAATTCCCCTAATATCTAAAGACCTTTTTAAAAGTCTTCGAATCTTTTTAACTACCCTATTTTATACTAATTCGCTTTTTGGATTTTAAAAGACTAAATACAACCTAATCTATATAATTTTTAAGAGTAAATCCTTCGTAGGGAAAACGGCTGGTTATATAGCGGTAATCAAAATTATAGAGTTTAAAAGAGGATAAAAATAGTTATTCGTAGAAAATATTATTCGAAGGGCTTTAGATTTTAATTTTAAAGGACCGCCGTAAATTATAAAGGGTATAGTCAGTAATATAATATTATAATTAAAGCACTCCTTAATATAGGGAATAATAATAGTAATTATAATAGTTCGTACTAATTCGATTTTCGGATTTTAAAAGACTGGGCTGTATAGAGTAATTGGGAGTTTAGTTTTAGTTTTAGGTTCGCTTTCGCTTTAAACTTTACACTCCCGTTTATTAAAGGCGGTAGGTTATTTTCTAATAGAGGGAGATCCGAAGATACATTGGATACAATATCCAATTTAATAAGTACCTTTAATATTTAAATTAGCAAGGACTGAAGTAGTATTAGTAGACTTTTTATTACAGTATTATATTTAATATTATCCTTAGTATCGACCTTAGTATTAATTTTAGTATTATTTTTATTTTTTATTTTAAAACGCTTTATAAATTTAACCGCCTTCTCGTTTTCCGTATCCTCCCTTACTAATTGTAATACCTTTCTAAGAATTATATACTTAAAGTACTTTTTAATATAAGGAATAACAATAGTAATTATAATAGTTCGATCG